AAACTTTAACTTTTCTAGTTCAATTAATGAAAGTTCTTTTGAGTATTCTTATGATGATTTATGCAAAGTTCTTGATTGCTCTATGAATGATATCAAGAAACTAGGAAATAAGAATCTTGCTCTTACTAAAACCATTTCATTGCTTAAAAGTGAGATTGTATCTCTTTCAAAACAAAATGAGGTTTTAGTTAAAGAAAATGCCTCTTTAAATGGTGAAATTGCATCTTTAAAGAATGAGGAGTCTAGTAATGCTTTGAAAAAGGAAAATGAGAATGCAAAGAAGGAAAATAAGGATTTAAAGGAGGAAAATGAGGTTTTAAAGAGAAAAGCTTGTGATCTTGAGAATATGATTTCCAAATTTACCTTGAGTAAAGAAAAATTTGATTCTATCTTAAAATCTCAAAGAAGTATTTATGACAAAGAGGACATTGAATTTGATTATTCTAAAAAGCAAAAGACTTTCAAGAATTCTTTTGTAAGAGCAAGTCAATCCTATCATCCTAATGTTACTTGCTATTGTTGTGGTACAAATAGACACTTTGCTTACATATGTCCTTTGAAGAGATTGATAGCTCAAGGTAAAGTGAAGCAAATTTGGATTCCAAAAGGAACTTTAAGCACTAACCCCCATGGACCCAAGCAAATTGGGTACCAAAAATCAAAACTTAATTTTGTTTTGTAGGTAAAGTTGATGGCAAAGTCATAAGAAGAGTGAAGTTGATCTCAATAAAGACTTATGCCTCAACAAGAATGTTGGAGTGAAAGTGCAAAGAAAATTTGTTTTTGAATGCTCCACTCATGTGCTCAATTGGTATTATTTATCTTATTGCATTTATTCATTGAGTATAATTACATTAACATGACTATTAATTATTTGTTTATGTATGCTCACTCTTTGATACATATGCTTGTTGAGTATGATTTCATTTGATGTGTCTTTCCTAGTGCTTGATATGATTCTTGAAATTAATAAATTTGATTATTAGAATTTGTGTATATTGATGCTTTGATTTGTGTACCTTGATTATATTCATGCTATTTGATGATGCATACATTGATATATGACTAAAGTTGCATAATTTAGTAGTTGATGTCCAATTTAAACTTAGTTAAATGAAGAAATATCATATTAAGGTGCATTCCCTTTAAAACAGCCCCAAACTTTTGTTTATCCCAATCAAGGCCAGTAGAGCCGGCTCACCCAAAAACCCGAGAGTATTCTCTCTCTACAACACAGCCGGCTCAACCAAAAAAAACCGAGAGTCTTCTTTCTCTAAACTACAACCGGCTCTAGGTTCACCAGCTGGCTTAACCGTAGGCGACCCGACCCGGACCCGCTTTACAACCGGTTTTGTAATTATAGCCGGCTCTCTTGCAGATTTTTTAAATAGTCTGGCTTCTCTCTCTTCGAACAAGATCTGCCATTTTCCTCTCCCAAAACTCGCCATTCACTCTTCCAAACACCAAAATCCCTCCAAATCTCCAAAACCCATCCCTTAAACACTCAAATATCTTCAAATCCTTACCTACCCAACACAAATCCACAAGCTTTCTGCTCCGATTTTGGTTGGTTTTTGCTGAGTTCTCTTTCTCATGGCTTCAAGAAGGGGCGAAAGCAAGAGGAAACATATTGGGAGTTCTAGTGGCGGTGGCCAAGCCCAAGAAGAAGGTAACCTCATTGATAATACTCTGTTTGTGGATGATGATGCCATTAATCGCTATAATTTTTTCAAAAACTTGGCTGTGCTACCATGCAATTGTGTGAAATTCAGTCAACTTCCTCAAGGAGATATGCGTGTTGAACAAATTTTTAGGGAACTTGGGTGGAAGGATTATGTAGAAGTTAAAGAGCATGTGTATTATGAAGTTGTTCATTAATTTTATGCTAATTTGAAACCAAGAGGGAATAAATGCAAAACTATGGCTGTTGGGGCGTCATTTCAGTTTTCTCCAAAGGATATTTGTGCTGTATTAGATATACCTGAAGGAGGAGATGATGAGTTTCTAGATGTGAATCATGCCTTAGTTAGAGCCACAATTGCCCCTAATTGCACTGAAAATCAAATTAAAGTGGGGTTTCTTACACCAGAGAATAGAGCATTGCAGTGGATTATATCTCGCATTATTGCTCAGAGGAAGGGTTCTAAATCTTATGTTCTTGCCATTGATCTTCCTTGGTTCGATTATCTTCTTAACGGAAAAAGGGTGAACCTAGGAAGATACATTTTCCGGAGCATAATCAAGCCTTACTCACCAACTACGGGACTTCCTCATGGTGCTCTAATTACCAAATTGGTGAAGAGGAACAACATTGATCTTACATCCTTTAGGTTCGGAACGGTTCCTGGTGGGACTACACTTACCAAAGCTTTTTTTGAGAAAATGGACTGTTTGTTTAGAAATGGCATTTGGGTAAAGAAAGGGGAACAAGAAGGGGAACAAGAAGGGGATGAAGAAGAAGGTGATACAGATCAAGAAATGGCAAAACAAGGGGCAGAAGAACATGAAGATGACAGCCCAAGACCATTTCGAGCCTTCATGCAAAGAACTAACTGTGAAACCATGGAGTTAATGATATCTGAGATGCAGCAACTGTACACCAACTTTTATGGTTTCCGGACAGAAATGAGAGGGAGAATGACTAACGTGGAAGGAAAGCTTGATCGGCTTGTTAACCATTTTTTTCCTCCACCCCCACCTGATGCCACCTAACTTGATATCTCTTTAGTTTGGCTAATCTTTAGGATGGACATCTTAGGGTTATGCATGTTATGCTTTTCTTTGATTATGGATATTTCTTGAACATTTTTATCCTGTTTTATGAATGGAAATGACATCGCTTGTGCTATCATGCTTTGTGAATGGTTGTTTATGATTTTGATGACTGGATGCTCTTATTGAGAGGGAGCATTTTGTGCTTAAATTGCTTTTCTTAATGGTTATCATGCTTAAATTCTTTAAAGATTGATGTGCATGAATTAATTAAGAGGGAGTTTGTTGATTATGTGCTTTTTGATGAATGACAGAAAGGGGGAGAAGAATATGTTGAATTTAATGTCATTTTCTAGAGTATCTTTGTGCTGAGATTCTAGCTAATATTGAAGTATATATGTGCTTTATCTTTGTGCTGAAATTCTGGTTAATATTGAAGTATATATGTGCTTTCGTTAATTAATTCTCAAAGTGTTTTGTCATCATAAAAAACGGGGAGATTGTTGTACCTATGATTTTGATGATTACAAAACACATTTGAGTGACTAATTGGTTTATTTAAGTGTATAGTTAAGTTGCTAAAATGTTTTTTCATCATAAAAAACGAGGAGATTGTTGTACCTATGATTTTGATGATTACAAAATACATTTGAGTGACTAATTGGTTTATTTAAGTGTGTAGTTAAGTTGCTAAAAGATTGCAAGTAAACTTGGATTGCACTAAAAATAGGACAAAAGGATTCAAAATGTGCAGAGAGCCGGCTCTTAAAAGCTGCAGTCGACTCTGGTGAAATGGAAGTGCAGAGAGTCGGCTCTGGAAGCTGCAGCCAGCTCTACAAGCAAAAATTTGAAGACCGTTGCTTGGTGCGCATGGAGAAAGACGCAAAGCCGACTCCAACTTTATAGCCGGCTGTGAGGGTGCATTTAATGCACAACGGTTGACTTATTTGAAGTATTTAAAGTCGGAGTTTCAAAGCCAGCTCAAAGTCTTGCAGCCGGCTCTTGAGAAAAACAGAATAGGCTGTAAAACCGGATAGCCAGCTCTGAAAGTGTAAGCCAGCTCTAGAAAGTTAAGCCGGCTCTCTTGACAATTCTGCAACTCAACTTTTGCGTCCTGTAGAGCATTTAATGACCCCCAACAGCTAGAAATGGCTATTTTTGAGCAAGGGGCTATAAATATGGTTGGTAACAGATCTGAAGAAGTTTAGAGAGTATTGTATTGAATATCTTTACCTACCTACATGAGCTTTAACTTGAGTTTTTGATCTTTGAGAGATCTTTACTTGTAATCCTCTTCTTGTGCTATTAGTGAATGATCTTGGGGGTATGTTGATTCCTTCAAGAGTGATCTGTAGAGAGGATCTTTGGGGTTTAAGTGTAAAGGGGTGAGATTTGAGAGAAACCCTTCTTCTTATAAAGGATTGAGTAGCTCCTTTAAGCCACCATTGTTTTTGTTAGTGGAGAGTGTGGAGGAAATCCTTGGTGAGTGAAGTCAAGGTAGAGGACTAGGCTCTAAGTGGTTGGACCGAACCTCTATAAAATCATTGTGCAAGCTCTTCTTCTCCACTTTCTCTTTAATTTTTGTTTGGTGGTTGCAAAGAGGTGAAAATTCTCCAACTCCAATTCACCCCCCCTTTTGGAGTGCATTGAGTCAACAGAATATTCACCTGCAAAGGATGCTGCCTTTTGCTTTCCTTGCTATTTGTTTGCAAAAAAACCAAGTGGGAAACAAGGAGGGGTTGAGACATTTACTTCAATTGCATTCAAAAAATAGAAAAAAGTTAACAATGGGGATAAATGTGCATTTTTAGCTTACATGGGAAAGGATCTAAATTCAATTCACAATATTGTTGTTAGATGCCTTGAAGATTTTAAGAATTAGTCATGTCATGTTGAAAAGGTGTTAGATGTCATACATGTCAGAGAGACAAATGCATTGACTCTTAAACAAGAGATTTGTTCTATCTTATCCCATCACAATCTCAACATTCAAAATGTTTGGGGTCAAGGGTATGATGGAGCTAGTAATATGTGTGGAGAATGGAATGGATTATAAGCTTTAATTCTTCAAGAATGTCCTTATGTTTATTATGTGCATTACTTAGCCCATCAATTACAATTAGCTATTATTGCTACAACTAGAAAAGCAGTTGATGTTCATGCTTTTTTTTCAAAATTTGACTTCTATAATTAACATTGTCAATTCTTTTTGCAAGCATCATGATGACTTGCAAGCTACATATGCACTTGAAATTGCTCGTTTAGGTGAAATTAATGAGATTGAAACAAGAAAAAGAGCCAATCAGTTGGGCACTTTACAAAGACTAGCGAACACAAGATGGAGTTCTCATTTTTAGTCAATATGCAGCTTTTTTTGAATGTTTACTCCAACTGCTTCAGTTCTTGAAAATGTGGCTATTAAAGGATCCACATACTCTCAATGAGGTGATGCTACTTTTGCTCTTAAGTCATTACTATCATTTGGCTTTGTCTTCATTTTACATTTGAAGAAGGAAATCATGGGAATTACTAATAAACTTTGCCAAGCTTTGCAACAAAAAAATCAAGATATTTTAAATGTTATGGTTTTAGTATCTAGCATAAAATGTTTGCTTCAAGATCTAAGAAACAATGGTTGGGATACTCTTTTACATGATGTCACTTCTTTTTGTGAGACTCATTCCATCCAAATTCCTGATATGAGTGCTTCTTTTTGTGACTTAATTCGTTCTCATCAAAAAAAGGATGATGTAATAGTTGAGCATCACTATCGAGTGGATATATTCACAACTGTATTAGATTATCAATTGAAAGAATTGAATTGTAGGTTCAATGAGCAAGCTACAGAACTTCTTACTTTGAGCTCAACTTTGGATCTTCACAATGACTATAAATCATTCAGTATTGATGACATATACAAATTTGTGGAGACGTGTTATCCTTCAGATTTTTAAGATCAAGAAAAGATTTGTCTAAAATATGCATTGCAACCCTATAAGCTTGATGTAGCTGCTCATCCAAGATTTCAGAATTTATCTACTGTTTCTGAATTATGTCAAGTGTTGGTGGAAACTAGAAAATTAGAAGTTTATCCTCTCATTGATTGATTGATTCGGCCTGTTTTAACTCTTCCTGTGTCAACAGCAACCATTGAATGAGCCTTTTTAGTTATGAAAATCACCAAAGTAAGACTCTGCAACAAGATGAAAGATGACCTTCTCAAAGATTATATGATTGTTTACGTTGAAAAAGAGATTGCAGAAAAATTTACTACAAACTCGATTATAGATGATTTTTACTCTATAAAACAACGAAGGGCACAGCTTAAAAATTAAAGGTACATACTTTTAGCTATTTTTATTTACAATTTAAAGTCTAGCATCTCGCCCCCCCTAAAAAAAAATTCTGGCTCTACCCTTGGGATGGGGAGTGTTTTTCCCTCATATATTTATGTGGGGAATTTTTCTCACTTAACGAGGCCCTGTAAGGATCCCATCCCAAGAAAAAATTTGGAAAAATAATAAATTAATTTTATTTTAAATTTAATCCAACCTAATATATCAATACATTCCAAAGCAAACTCAATAAAAATTAAATTTGACCCAATTTTATACAACCTAATCCAACCCGACCTAACTCAACCCAACCCAACCCAATTAAATTTACTACCGTATAACAAACAAGTCAATTAGTTTAGTTATTTATATTGGATTGACCTTTATTTATATTTAAATAATTTATATTT